CATACCGATGGCATGGTATTGAGTTCGATCTTGGTCCAACCAAACCCATCTGATCTGAGTGACAGAGTAACCCGACACGTTTTGAAGGTTTTAGATGATTGTATGTGTGGTTTTGAGCGCTATTCTCAAAACTTCAGTGAGCCGTTGTGAGTGGAAGGACTGGGAACTGATTGCAAACAAAAAACGCGATAAATCAGACGGGTGGCCAACCACTTTGCGGGTACCCAGCACTTCCTAGATGTTACTTGTAATTTTGTTTTCATCAACCATATCTTTAACAGTAAATAAACATGTATAGAGACCTCTGAAAAGCTTATTTTCCATGCAAAAAGCCATGCAGTGTGTTTTTCGAAGTGTCGTATTTTAGAGTGTGTTACCGCAGATACACTAGTCCGGCGTAGCACTTTCGGCTAATTACCTGAAGAGAATGGATTTTTTGGCTTCAGACCTGATATTTTCATCTAGTTTTCATTATTTGTCGAATGGATATATATAGTTCACTAGAATACTTTGGAATCCACTTAATTCAATATGGAAACTATAGTGTCCATACGGAGCCCTGATGGATGTTTTTGGACTTCATCGATAGGAATATGGATAGAATGCGCGTCTTTAGGCTTCAGACATATATGAATGTGTACTTATATGTATACACAGATATGCGGTCGTATATATCCTCATTGTATCTATACATGTCTACATACCATATGCATATATATATATATATATATATATATATATACTTGTATGCATATATTACATATATATTACTTGCTCCGTCCCAGAAATCGTTACTAGTTGGATAGTTGTTTTAATTTGTTAGAGGTATAAGTAATCTACCCAGCAATGCCATCCACTCTCGAGTTAGGCCTGTTGTCGTCGTCGGAAGCGTTCGTTGGGTCAGAAGTCTTGCGATCGATTTCGTTCTGAACCAGAATTTTTCCACAATTCGGGAAGTATTACTGCTTTCCCACTGTTACGAGGTTAAAATGCTTGTCTACACGTTTTTTTACGCATAGTAGATAATGTTTCCTTTCATAGAGATTACTAATAACCTAGACTCGTGTGGCGCAATGGTCAGAGGCGCTGCAATACACATGGGATCGTTCCCCACGCCTAAGGCTCATCAAGCCTTTCATCTCTCCGGGGTCGGCAAATTATTGCCAGGCTTGTCTGGTAGGATAGGAGCACTGGTTGGATACATCGGCAGGCTACCGCGAGTCATTGTAAAGGCCATATCTGTATCCAATCACCTCTGCAAAGCTACGGATGGAGTCCAATGCATGGCGTCTACCCCAGGAATTGAATAACGCCGAGAGCTTCATTCTTTTTTTTTTACCGAATAACCTCATTTTTGCTTTCTTGTTATTTCCATGACAACTTTCCTAGCACACGTAGGATTTCTGGGCGTTCCTGACTAGGTCTTCAGATACTATTCTTTGCTGCAGTGATTTTAACACGTTGTTGAGCGACAATAATATTCTTCTCATGAATTTAGATCTTTTTTCTTACATGACCCGTTATTAAATCATTCAGATCCATGAATTTAGATTTATGGGGAAGACGCGACTCCCTTGTATTATCGGTGTGGCAGGAGGACCGTCTTCAGGAAAGGTTAGTGTTTTCCTGTCTGAATGAAATAAATGAAAGAAGCTGGAGTATAAATAGTCGTTTGATGTTATTGGGAATATCTAAGAGAAGTAATGGTAAGTAGAAGAGGAGAAAAGGAGCAACCCTGTGTATGCCTGGAAGACCGGTGAGACAAATATATTCGTCTTTTACTTGATACTGGCCCGTCATCAGTGGTTGTGCTAGCGCCAGCATAATCTCCAATCTTTTTCGGAGGTTTTCTGGTTACAGCCTGGCCAAAGTCTGACCCAGGTTTTTACCACCACGGGCAGTTGCAGCCCTTGTGAATCAGAGGGAGATTTACCACCATGCGACTTTGATATCAGGATGGTGGTGGATACTGGTATTGGTTTACTCTTAGCTAGGTTTCCTGTTGGAAACGCCGGACTCCTCAGCTTGGGAGACCTTACCAGGGGATGAATCCCCGGCTGTACATCGTAGCCCGTCATCTAGGAACACCTCTCAGCCACGATGAGGCGGTAAACCGTTGGGAGGTATTCGTCTTTGAAGTGCTTAAAATATGAATTCCTTTTGTGATTCTCACTAGGATATTTTTTTTGTTGACTGAAAATAAAAAAGAGCTCCTTATAACAACCCGTGTGGGGCAGTGGCCAGCAGTGCCCCGCAATATACATAGATCGATCCTCGCGCCTGTGACTCACCAACTCCTCCATCCCTCCTGTGTCGGCAAATTGGTGCCGAACTTCTTTGGGAGGATAGCAGCACTGGTTCGATACATCGATAGACCATCGCGAATCACTGTAAAGATCATATATGCATTCGATCACTCTAAACGATGCTAAATTAAGTCGAATGAATGGCGTATCCCTCAGGGATTGATCAGCGTCGAGAGCTTCCATTATTACTCAATCCTATTATTTTGAGTCACTCAGATACACCAATATACAACCTATTCGTTCCTGTGGCTCCTTTGTTTTGTTAGCGGTACTCGTTTCCCATGTTAGTTGCATGCCAAGAAGTAGGTAAAGAATCATGATAGCTTCCGGAGCTTTTATATTGCTGATAAGGGATTTCACTTAGAGGATTTTCTTGGTAGTCGTGTTAAACATTTACCGTTTAATAATGGCTAGTTTCAGTCACTAGTCATGGAAAAGATCATGGAACGGCTTGAGACATTGAATCAGGATAAGAAGAAGCAGGTGAACGTTGTCTCCTGAGTAGAAATGTTTTAAATTTGAATGTATGACTACTCTTGATTAACACTTATGTTGTTATGTACTTAAACTAAGCGGTCAACTGTTCTATTCAACTTTTTTGGTTTTTCCAAAGGAATTTAGGTTGGAGTTGATAGTGAGTTACAAACAAGATGTATTAAGAGTACGACGATGTCTTCAAGAACGTGCATCTCACATATTCTTGAATTTTTCAATTGAATTCTTAAGTTTATTCCATGGTCAACTTTCTTTTAACTACGGTTTTCTTGATAAGCAAACATGACGTTCTTAACAGCAAAATTTATTTAGCACAATACTGGTGTTGTACTGAATCCTCTAAACGGTTTGCGGCCTCATCGTGGTGGAAGATGTTCCTAGATGTCGGGCCGTGGTGCATAGGGGTATGAGGGGGAAGTTCATCGTCCCAATAGGGCATACAAAGCTCAGAAGGAGGAAGACGTTTCCATCTGGAAGCCCGGCTAAGAGTAAGCCAATACCAGGAATTACCACCGTCCTGGTATCAAACTAGTCGCATGGTGGCAAATCTCCCTCTGATCCAGCGGTAGCGGAGACTGCCTGTGATGGTGAGGACCTGGAGTAGACTTTGGCCAAGCTGACCTCGGGTTGGTACACCATCTCGGCACTCGGCGTTTGTTAAAATTAGATACTTGGGTACTTGGTTACCTGGATGGTCCGTCTTCACAAGTTGTACGGACTCCATCACATATACCATTCGTTCCTCTCTCTCGCAATCGTAGTCCATGGTGGGGATTTTGTTCGATCATGGTAGCGTATGCGAGTCTCACACCGTGGTCTATAAAACAACTGCAGCTGCGGGTGAAGCTGATCAACCTTGTTTACGAACATGTGCGCGGAACGTGTGGGTGGTTGTCCTAAGGGACGTTTGGATTCTCTTGGAGTCCACTCTACTGTTCTTTTCGTCCATCTGTCGCCGGCTCTTCTCACTACATGACCGGCCCATCAATGTTTCGCTGTCCATGTATATACTCCTGGATTTCGAAGATGTGACAGATTTCGAAGGTCAGAGCTTCGCATTCCGACTACATATTGATAGTGCCGGTTATATTTCAGAAGACATCGCTTAAGCGCTCTGTGAGTAGTTCGAAGCATTCTTGACGTAGTTGAAGTATCAGTCTACGTCTTTGCAGCATAACAGAGCGCTGGGAAGACCATAGAATCGAAAAGAGGAGCGCGGATTTTCGGGTCCTTCAGTCGGTCGGTGGCTTCTTTGAGAGGCCTGAATACGACCCGAACTGCTCTCCTTCTATCTAGTTCCTCCATGTTATTTTCTATGTTCATTGATCGCCCATAATCCATTAAAATTAAATTCATTATAAATTGTTATCCTCCCAACGGTTTGCCGCTTCATCGTGGCTGGGAGGTGTTCCAGGCTGTCGGACTGCGATGTACAGCAGGGGATTCATCCACTGGCAGGGTCTCCCAAGCTGAGGAGTCCGGCGTTTCCATCGGGAAGCCTAGCTAAGAGTAAACCAATACCAGGATCTGATTGTGTCGTTTTCTTGTTCAGCAATCGCGAGGTTTTTAAACAGCATACATTTACTTCCATAAAAAACACTACAATACAACGCTAGCTGACGTTTCGGCAGTATCGCCTTCTTCAGAGCCGCTTTTTCATGACTTCCAACGAGGTAGTTTAGAACAGCTGATTAAAGTCGCATGTGGTTGACGACGAAGCTAGCGTTGTATTGTACTGTGATCAGCTGTTCTAAACTTCCTCATTGGAAGTCACGAAAAAGCGGCTCTGAAGAAGGCGATACTGCCGAAACGTCAGCTAGCGTTGTAATGTATTGTTTTTTTTATGGAAGTAAATGTATGCTGTTTAAAAACCTCGCGATTGCTGAACAAGAAAACGACACATTCATATTCCAATGCCGAGGTTAAGAGAAAGTCGATCCTGGAAACTAATACCAGGATCCTCCACCGTCTTAGTATCAAATATATTAAATATATATTTACTATGTTTAAATACAAATATATATTAAAGATATATTAAGAGTACGATGATGTCTTCAAGAACTTGCATCTCACATATTCTTCAATGGAAATTTTAAGTTTATTCCAGGGTCAACTTCCTTTTAACTACGGCTAATTTATTTAGCACAATACTGGTATTGTACTGAGTCTTCTAAACGGTTTGCGGCCTCATCGTGGTGGAAGATGTTCCTAGATGTCGGGCCGTGGTGCATAGGGGTAGGAGGGGGAAGTTCATCGTCCCGATAGGGCATACGAAGCTCAGAAGGAGCAAGACGTTTCCATCTGGAAACCCGGCTAAGAGTAAGCCAATACCAGGAATTACCACCGTTCTAGTATCAAACCAAAAATGGTGGCAAATCTCCCTCTGATCCACAAGGGCTTCGACTACCCGTGGTGGTGAAGACCTGGGGCAGACTTTGGCCGGACTGTCCTCGGGATTCCAGTGAACCACAATGGCTTAACCAGCAAATCTCCGATAAATGGTGATTATGCTGGAGACCGCAGAACCAGTGAAAACGGGCCGTTAAAAAGTCATTAAATATAAATTGATATAACTCGTATGAAATGCTGAGATATTTGCAAAACGCCGGACCACAGGTGTATGCAGTAGAGAACGAACACGCGCTGCTGTCCTTACCGGGGAGCAGCGCACTTCACCACTACACCATCCGGGACCCGGATTGTTTGTTTACTTGCAATGTGCTCGAGAATTTAAAAGAAGCTGGATAATAAAGAAGAATTCCGTTGCGTGTTGCTCAATTTTAGTGGTTCAGTCCAGGGGGAAAATAGAAGTTGGTGGATTTCTAAAGGTACAAGAAAGATTGTGGTTGAGTAAGAGGCTCCAAAACTGCAGTACATTCAGCTTTCTCGCTGTTCGTACACGGTCTACATATGTATTGATAGGCATTTTTCGAGTTGTTAGATAATTAGGTGCTCATTTCAGTGTCACTGAATCTTAGCGATTACATGTGAGACCACTATGGCTGAAGTTCTTTACTTTAGGTGATTACAATCCCAATGGAATCGTTCTATAAAGAGCTGAACGCCGAAGAACGAGTAAAAGCTGAAATTGGAGAGTACGATTTCGACCATCCATGTACGTTTTCAGTCGAAATTTTACTTTCTTTGTGTTTAATTTAGGTTCTTGTTACAGAGGAATCTTTTTCGTTGTTTAGCCGCCTTTGATTTTGACAAGTTGGCTGAAACCATTTCTGAACTGGAACGGGGTAAAGGTGTCACTTTACCAAAGTACGATTTCTTAAAGAGCACAAGGTATGTTCCACTATGAAATTCTGAAGCACATTGCTACGTTTTTGATTTGTTACACTAGTTCTCATGCAATGTTACTTACTTGGATGGCCCGTCCTCACTGGTTGTGCGGGCTCCGGCATAATCTTCATATTTTTTCTTGGAGTTTTGCTGATTTAGTTATTGTGGTTCTCTGGGGTTCTGTTGTTAGCCAGGCCAAAATTTTCCCCAGGTCGTCACTACCACCGGCAGTCGTCGGCTCCGTAGATCAGTGAGAGATTTGCCACCATGCGACTAGTTTGGTTCAAGAATGGAACGGATCCTGGTATTGGTGTATTCTTAGCTGTGCTTCCTAATGGAAACGCCGGACTTCTTGTCAGCTTGAGAGGCCTTGACAGGGTGATGAATTCCTCTGCTGTACATCGCAGCCCGACACAGAAATACCTCCCAGCAACGATGAGGTGGTAAACCGTTGGGAGGCGCATGTAATGTTGCGTGCTGAAAATTTGTGACATGTCTAGAAACATGAAAAAGCTGGATTGTTTTGTTTAAGGAAAGGAACGTTACACTTAGAACCTGCCGATGTGATTATTGTAGAAGGGATTCTCATATTCTATGATGCACGTCTCAGGAACAAGTTTGCCATGAAGCTGTTCGTCGATGCGGACGCCGACATCAGGCTGGCTAGACGTGGTTATTTCTTTGCATTCTATTGAGAGCAATCATTTAATACTAAAGTTGTTGTTTCTTTCTTCGTTGCTTGTGATTTTTTTTGCGGGACGTATCTACCGTCCGTTTTTGGAAGTTCACTGTTTTAGTGCACCGTGACACATTAGAAAGAAAGCGGCCTCTCTCTGTTGTTCTCAATCAGTACATAAAAAAGGTTAGTTTTTCCATGCTTTTTGTATTCCATGTTTGTAGTATGTCACCTTCCTGCAACGAGATACTACCGTATGACATTTACTACGATTCATTGTCTGATTTCTTCCCGGATCATTCCGAGGGGAGAGGATCACGGTTAGTCAATCAGTTGATTTGAAACCGAACTCCTGTAGTACAGTGGTAACAAGCCGTCTGACCTATAGTGATTACTAGTTTGCGTCTTAAAAATAGTATTTGCTAATATATAAGCGGAAAATAGGCTATGCTTACTAAATGAAGCCGACAAATCCACCCTCACTGGTCTCCCTCATGGTATGTATACGTCCTCTAAGAAAACAATGAGTGAATTTGTACCGACTGACATTGGTGATCAGCTTAACCGGTCAGTGGTGGACAATGATGTATGATGTACGTTTTTTTCTTCACATTTTATTTGTTGACGTGAAAAGGAATGCTTAAAGAAATCACCATCAGAAGTCTTTGGTCTAATGGTGACTTCTTTAATCCAGCTTAATCGTCATTCATGCGTTGTTTGCCTAATTTCAAAGCAGTTGGGTGGTACTTCGTATGTTAACTTTTTGTTTACTGCCTATTACAAGTTTCCACGGCAGCGGATAATGTGTGATACAACCGCAATGATCCTGAGATATTTGCAAAATTCCGGGCCGCTAGTGTCAACAGTGGGGAACGAACGCATTATTGCCTTTTCCGTGGGGCAACGCTCACCACCACACCATGTGCGTCCTTCGTTTCGCCTTTCATTCAGCTAGTTTTCTATCTACCACTGCGATGAGTAATCATCCGTTAACGGGTTAGCCTTAGAGAAAGCATTCTGTACGTTTCTGATGGCAGTTAATGACTGGTAATCTTGATATTAGACGTACAACTGCTCATTTGTCCGTAAAAACGTGAGGCCTTTTGATTCTGTCTATAATTAAGAAGACTATGATGACACAGTAGCGTGGACTGTTCATTTGTCGTGTCTGTTGCAGATTAAACGCAATACATTGCTCGTGAATTGTTGTGAAACTCTTAAATCTTACGTACATTAAACCTGTTTAGCTCTTTAGAGCTAATCATGGTATTTTCTTTGAGGTTAAACCTGCTTTCGAAGAGTTCTGTTTTCCAACGAAAAAGTGGGCTGATGTCATTATACCAAGAGGAGGAGAAAATGACGTGGCTATTGATCTGCTTGTACAACATATTCAGGTAAGAATAGTTTTATGTCTAATAACTGCAGGTATTCTTCTTTGAATTCTGCCAGTTGCATTGGGGTTCTTTCGTATATCCTCGATACTTCAGGATCTCCTAAAAACGCCCCGTGGCAGTCCTGAACGTAAAAAATCTATCGATGAAATTGTCGATGGGAAGTTCAAGATTTATGGACTCCACTAGTGAGTTATCCTCACATATTTTCAGTGGACTTCTGGAGGTTGCAAGTTCTGTCATATGGACGACGTCTTTTCTGTGAACCTTAGGTGCTTCTCAACAGTCAGGTGTATCTGAGTGCAGGACCGTTGCCTTCATTCAGCAAATAGTCTTGAAATGTGTATGTTTTTAACTAAAATAATATTGCTAGTGCCATAGACCGCCATCTTAAGTGCACTATTTGTGCTAGAGTCTTCTGGTCCACTTTCCGAAAGGGATAAAAAGAGGTAAATGTTGGGTTGGCTTTGTTTCAAATCGGCATGCTCAAAGGGTATTTTGCTTAGGACTTCATTCGTCTATATTTGTTAGTAAGTCTTTGTCTCAAAGCATGCTGTCAGCTGAAAGAATTTTATCGCGATTATTATCTACATCATTTTCTGGGTACTGAATATGTGATCTTTAGATGTATATGATGTATTTTGAGCAGTTTTTATGCATTGGTAACTAAGTTGATTTGAATAGGTCGTTTTATTGCGTTATTTACTTGTTAGGTTTATTTCATAGGTTAGGTGTATGTGAAATTGTGCACAACTGTAATTTATCTGCGAATCTATAAAATCATTTACAAAACAGCGAAATGCTGCGTAACGTGTCTTGCAACTACGGCTACTAGGCAAGTATTCTAGTGAAGGATAACCTAACATTTCTCTGAAAAGTAATAAGAGCGTTCCTTCGTCAAGGAGACGAATTAACGATTTTCTCTGAGAATAGCTAGGAAGGATAATGCAAGGTTTTATAAGGTTGAAGTCTATGTCCAGTTAGCTACCAACATATTGAACGGCATCTCTACTTAAAAAACGATTGGTTGTTGTAACTCCGTTTTGTCATGTATTAATAACCCTGTCACGTCGTCTCACGCGTCCTCATGATTAATTATGTGTAATTAGTTACACATAATTAGGCAACAATGGGTTAAAAATAACGGTCGCACAAGAAGTATTAAAGGAATGAAGTTGAATTCCGAATGTGGTGGGCGCAAAAAGCCATTCAAACGTAAACGTGCATAGATTTTCCCTCATTATCAACTGGTCAATGAATTGTGCTCACAAGTTTTATCCCGATGTTCCTGTTCTCTATCGGTTATTTGCTGTTTGCTTTTATCAGTTCTAACTACGTTGTAGACACAAATATAGTATAGATTCATTTATTCAAGAAGAACCTCTGAAAATGGTTGTTAATTGTAAAGAACTTTTTGTGGTGAGATCCAACGGCCATGTTTACTTTACATCCCGTTTTTTTTCTAAACGATTACCATTGGGTAGCTTCACTTATTGAACACATATTCAGTACAACCTTATTTGGGAAAGGATAAAGCATATTCTCACCTTTTATTTATTTGGTTACTTGGACGGCCCTCCATAAGTGTTGTGTGAGCCCTAGTATATTTTGCATTCGTTTCTTACTCTCTTCATTGTCGTCCATGGAAGAGGTTTCCTTCGACTATAGAGACGTTTGCAGGTATCGTGCTGTGGTCTGTAAAACACATTTAGCTGCGGATATAGTTCCTTAATTTTTGTTGCAAAGAGTGGTCTGCTGTGTTTTCCGGTAGCAGTGTTCGAGCATCTGTAGATGGAGCGCAAAATTTTCGATATGGTTAGAGTACTGGTCCAGGTCTCTGTTGCATAAGAGAGCGATGGGAGAACAGTAGAGTTGACACGGTGAACACCGACACTAGGGTCCTTTAGACGGTCGTTGGCTTCTCTGAGAGAGCTGTAAGCGGCTCTCAGTGGTACATCCCGAAATTACCACGATTTCATCAACTAAATGAAGATTTGTCGGGAGTTTGTCGTCTATGCGTATTCTTTTCTCATCCCAATCGAAACATTTCATTATCCAACGCAGTGCGGCAGTAAGCAAATTCGGCGATATTGTGTTGTCTTCTCGATCTTTCTGACGCTGTCAAACGCTTTTTTGTAGTCGATATACGCTAGGAGAAGAGTCAGTTGGTACACCCAGCAGACTTTTACAATCCGGGACACGGTTTGGATGTGGTCCATTCAGCACAATCTTTGTCGGAATCTCGCTTCTTCAACTGGTTGTCTCTCACCCAAATTCTTTGATATGCCCGAAAGTATAATCTTCGAGAGGATCCCAACGGTCATCGTTGCCGGAAACAGTGACATGTTCGATGTCCTTCACCGGTCTGGAATTTTTCCTTTTCTCTGGTAAGATGTCACTTGGGAAGAGAGAAGTACAATTGGTTTATATCTCCCAGCTCTAAGGAAATCGGTAGTGATGTTCTCGGTTCTTGGATCTCTGCCTTTCTTCATGCGTACTATCGAAACTTGCACTTCAGAGGCAAGAATTTCTGGGTGTTCTTCTTCAGCAAAGGTTTCGGGGCGAGTTATGGGAAGGTTGATGTAGAACTTTTATGTTGTCCGTTCCATATCATCGCAAGTGTTGATGGCGATTCTGTCCCCTTCCATGAGAGCTCGCAGCAAAGCAATGTATTTGAACGTGTGCTGACGCTATTTCTTCAGACTGGTGTTATCTTTTATGCTACCTGCAGCAATTATATTGCAAAATCTGCAGCTGACATTTATTATCAGTCGTCCTAGGTGTGTCCTAGTTGGATATCGCTTAAGTTTTCTTCCCGTTTCGATCAACTTCTTAGTGGCAGTGAAGTTGTGGTCCTAACAGCTTCTACGAGGAAATGACGCGAGTTGGGCATAAATTTTAAGCCCTTTGACAAGCATTTCCTAGTTTTCGGTCCAATCATCTGCCAGCCGTTTGAGGAGACTATTCTTATCTCTAGTATGACTTTGTTAATTTAGTCTTAGTTTCGCTCCTAAAAACCATTAATAGTTGGGTTGCAGATGAAACAATTTAGATTTTCGATTTTTGTGCGGATTGCCTTTTTGGAATGTATCTTCCTAGTTCTTTAACCTTTGTCCTTTCGTCTTCCTAGTGTGCACGCTTAAGGACACCTCAGTGAAGTAGCGACGCAAGACAATCTCAATGTTAATCGATGTACCATACTGCAACAACAGCTTACCTGCTAGTCATTGCGCAAATTAACGACTTCCTTTCAGGCTGGATGTTCCCTTCTCGTCTGTTTAGTCCTCCATTCATCGCGTAAGTGACTTTTAGTGGCATTCTATTGCGAAGCAAGCGTCGACTCTTTATGCGCTTCAAAATGCTTCGCTGAACCTTCTACAGCCATCTATTCTGTTGCTGGGCAATATTACGTTAGCACATTAGGTTTTCTTAATGTAGCAGATATAAAGCTGATAGTTTGGTTTCAGAGGGATTCTCTTACGATTCATCTCTTAAATGTGAGTACATTTTTCACTTCTGACTTGGTAATCATATGAGAAATTAGTAATTTAATAGCAGTTGCCGTATACTCATATAAGTGATATGTCAAGTCCTGTCGCACCATTGCAGTTTGTGTTGAAAAGTCGATAACGCAGAAGAAGCTGGAAGAAATGTTGAGAGGCGAAATCTGTATACGCTTTGTCGGTCTTTTAGTATTCACGGAAGACGATTATGAAGTCAACGATTCAGTCAAGGTAGATAGAAAAGCGCATTAGTCGGAGATGCCTTGCAATCAAACACACTTGATCTCTGATTCACCCCGCACTGGGATGTTTGAACCTCCCATGTTTTCGGCATCGACAGGTTGGTCAAAGTGGAAGAGGGGTTTTTATACGGAAGTGGCTCACTTCAATTCACAAAGGTTAACGGCTGCATCTATACTGAATCCTTCGGAGTGATGATGTGGAGTTGTACCAAGTTTCTATATAGGATACACTCAACCAAAGTCATTGTCGATAAAATGAGTTTTTTTATACTTTCACGTAATAATCGTTTTCTAAAGCATTTTAAAACGCTTTGGATCCAGAAGTAATTTAATTTATGCCACTTTTTCCAACCGCTTTATTGTCTTACAAGCGTGGTCTACAAAGGTGGTCGGTTTCGGCAATGGATTATTACCACTTTTGTACTGAGATAAAATGGATAGCCCTTCTTCGGAAATCATTTCAGGTACACTACTTCGTTTCCTAGTCTTCCTATTGTCATTTTTTTTAAATGTTCTGGTTCGTATACTGGTTCGGGAGTTGTTAGAGATGTGTAGTCTTCCTTTCTCTTTGACATGTAGAATGTTAGTCGACAGTCGTTTGCTGTGGAAACGCCATGTCGCCATAGTAGTGTACTACGAGATTTTTCGAAGCAAACACAATTACCCACAAAAGGATACGTATTGATTTGGATTGATTGACAAACCATTTGATTGAGGAAGCTAAATGTTATCGTCGTAGGAGTTTACATATCACTTGTATCACCTGTCCCCCAGTTGATCATGGAGTGACTCGAGCAGGCGCCAGGAAATCTAACATTTCTCCCCGTCTGGATCAGGAAAGGCCCAATGGGTTTTGCTGGCTTTAGGCACCCCATCATTTCTTTCATCTAAGGTGTTCGTGAAGAAGGTTGATCATCATGTAAGGGGTCTTTCTACAGTACGTTTAACATCTTGAGGAATCCAGTCAGTAACGGGCACTTGTCCATCGGTAGTCGTTCATATGCTTTATGTTTCCGGCCCACTTTCGTTTCGAAAATTTAAAGTGTAAAAGTCAGCAGGCATTCGCTCCGCTTAGCTAATGTTTGGTGTCATAAAGACGATGTCATCAGCAAGGCCAAAATGGTGTAATTACCGACCATCGATTTTCACTCCAATGTTGTCCCATTCCAATGTTCGAACGACGTTATCGAGGGTGGAGGTGAATAATTTTGGCGAAATGGTATCGCCTTGCCTAACACCTGTTTCGATGTCGATGTTAATATCGTTGTAGAATGGTGATATCTTTGTTGTGAATTTTTTGTACAGCTCACGATGAATCTTATGAACTGCCTGACTATCAAGGGATTCCATGACTGCTTCTATCTCAACTGAACTAAAAACCTTTGAATAGTTGAAAGTGAGACAGAGCGGCCTATTGTACTCTCGCGATACTTAAATGAATCATTTTATCGTGTGTATGTGGTTTGATGTAGTGAATTCTTTCCGAAACCCTGCTTGTTCACATGGCTGTTCTTCTTCTATTGTTCTGTCAATCCGGCTTAGGATGACTAGCGAACAGTTTGTTGACGACAGACAGCAAGCGGATTGGGCGATAGTTGCCGATATTTTGGAGGTCACTTTTTTTAAAAAACAACGCAATTTTTTTGCTCTTTCATTGAGTAGGAACCTTGCATTCAAACAGGTAACGTGTAAAGGGTCGACCCACTGTGATGATCAGGACTGGCGAAAGGTTCTTCAGGTACTCAGCTCTAACCCTGTCCGGGCCAGGTGATGTTCGATCCTTCACCGACGAAACACTATGTAGGATTTCGCAAGTGGGACCTAATGGGACGATATATTCATCCTTATTTATTTCGTTTGACTGCAGGGGGACGTGATTATTGAAGAGATCTGTTCTTTCGAAGCCGTGTTTGTTCCTTCCGAGCGTTGGAGTGCAATCAACTTGCTTTCGTAATTGGCGAAGTTTCGATATTTTTTGCCAATCCTTCTCTCGTTCTGTGCAGCTTCGATGATAACTGCACCCCTTCTCTCTTTAAGATCTTCTTTTATCGTCTATCTGCATAGTTTTGCAAGTTCACACGTTAGTTCGCAGTTGCCTGCAGCTCGTGAGATTCCACAGTGGCGTATTAGCTGGAGTATTTCTAGAGGTAGACACCTATTGGTGGCTTTTGAACTCAGCTTTCACAGCGTTAACGTGAAGATGTTAAATGTACTGATCGTATTCCTTCTCGATGTTATCAGTAATGACATCCTACCAAGGGGCAACTGGTCAACCGAATAAATCCCACTTTATGGTGGTTTTCTCCTTTCCGCATGAAATGATTTCTTGCACGAAAAAGGCGATTGCGTGATCCCGTAGAGAGTTTTAAGAAAACAGCAACATCGGTTGGGCAAATCCTTCGCTTTGCAACGATGAGGTCAATCTCATTATATCACTCTGCATTTGGAGACCCTACTTCCAGCGTTGACAGTCGTGCCTCTCGAACCGCGAGTTAACATGGATGGTCTCGGTTATTATGATAAACTCCGATAGCCGTTCACGCTGCTCGTTCCATTCTGATCCGTTGGTTCCAATTTGGGGTTCTTCAGACGTTTTCTGGGTCCAGGTTTGGCGTTAAAATCTCCAATGATGTCATTAAAGAATATATGGGCTTCTCTGTGGAATTTCTCCAAGTCCACATAGAGCGCTTCGACTTCATCTCCACAGCTTGATGTCGGCGCATAAACCACGAAAATTATCAAAGCCAGTATTGATCCACATGTCTTCATTCGTAAACGTCCGATTTGTGTTGTTAGTTGTTTGAATGAACGTTTCTTCCACTGTCGCATGTTCCGTGAAACAGTTCTTCTCCGGTGGTGGTAGACGGTGTCAAATGGACGTCGTCTTCTCGTCTCAGCCACTCCGATGACGTCGCACCTTATCCATATTGCCTGCATGATCGAGTCCTCTGTGCAATACTTAGATGCGAGTGGGCGTGCATTGTAGGTACGGATCGTCATCTTGATTCTTTGCCATTTAGGTACCCTAGAATAGCCCTGAAATTTTAGCACCGTGTACGTACTCGCCCTACGCAACACTGCCGTATCGGGGTCTCTTTCGGGCTCAGAGGAATGAGGCCCATTTATTTTACTCTGTTTAGCCTTTTCATACTGACGTGTAGCTTGTTGAGCCTTGTATCGCAGTTGTTAGCGGAATATAGGCCTTCGAGTTAGTTATAACCACACCGAATAACCCCTAGCTTTAAACAGAATGCTCGACTTCGTGATATGACGCCACGCGGGACTTTTCGTAGTTGACACAGGACAACAGCTTTCGACACTCAAACTTGGGATTAAATCTTTATATACA